GATGCATAAAACTTCCAAATAAAAACTTGAGAGCCTCAACAGATCTAAGGACTCAGAGGAGCTTAAATAAAACTCATATCCTAAGTCTAACCAAGCAGAAGCTCAATATAGGAAAAACAAACATAAACCATGATGTTTTCTGGATAAGTCAGATAAACCGTGATATGTTAGAGGGTAGGAAATAGCTTTATGAGTTAAACTTCACAACGCAATGGTGTCGAAGTTACCTAAGATGACAAGAAAATGTCATATCGTAAATTTATGTAAGATTGTTCACCTGATTAAATGAAATTGGTATTGGTGGTCAGACTGTCTTTTTCAACAAAAAATAACAAAAATAAGTGACTAGATTGATTATCTACTCAATGACGTGCACTTATTATGATGCGATTAATCAAGCATCTGTTATATACAACCTTATGTTAAGAAAACAGCAGGAACATAATATACATAATGAAATAGAGACTACTGCATTGTACTCCCTCTTGCTGATACTGAATTTCATATTTTCACGGCAAAATAAGTTTCTTTTTTTGGTTGGGCGGGGGAGGGGGCGGGGATAGATTAAATATAAAGCGTTCCTGAGAAACAAGGCCACCTGAGTAAAAAACAACATAATAAAAAATTTGCTCAATATGATAAGGTGAGCACGGCTGCTTGTCACAAAAAGGGAAGAAGTTCTGAGCATTGGTTACCGCTTTTTCAGGGGTAGAGAAATGCTGCATTCTGTTCGACAGAATCTTCTGCATATGAATCAACGATGCCATTGCTGAACCCTGATAACTCCGGAAATCAGTACATAAAAAGGGCAGCCCAGTGCATAAAGCATCCCGCATTCACGTAGGGTCCGGGGAAGGGCTGCACCCCAAGAAGTGTGATATAGACAGCCTACCCTAATGCAAGCATTAGTGGCTGCTTCCACGACTCGAAACCGTAACCTAAAGTCACACGGAGACAACTTTACCGTTGCTCCAAGGCTCCCCTTCCCGGACATCAGTACTTAATGAAACAAAAATCATATCTCTAACAAGTTAGAAAGATTGACAACCTCAACAACGTCCACAACCACCAAGCCAGCCAAACTTGGAAGTGATTTTTTTGCAGCAACGTGAACTGCAACTGCACCTCCCATACTGTGACATAATCAGAAAACTCTAAGTCCAACTATTTATTTTTAAAGACTGGAATGATATGTGCACACGCATTCACTCACAAACAGAAAGTGAGACAGAAAGAGAGAACAATTCACAACTTATTTGTGGTACAGAAAACTTCTAACCTAAGCGTGCAGTTAATTAAAATAAAAAGCAGAAATAGTTCATTCATAGCAGGACTAAAACTTCTTTTGAGTGAAAACGTACAAAGGTTTACATCCTATTCGTATACTATCAAACCATTTTCATTCTTGGTAACAAATATATGGGAACAAATGACAAGAATCCAGACCAACCAAGAAAAGGAGAAAGGAAATAAAGATACATTTGAGGACTCTTCAGACTGGAAGAAAATGGGAACAGGCGAAGAAATGCGGCATATCAATGAGTTAAAAGTTCTAAGCAACTATAGATCTGATGGATGCAACAGAGATCGATTTGGTTTACAGACCACTGCAACACTAATACAACTAATTCCATTATTAAATTACTGAGCTATCGCTCTTTCTCACAAAATAAAAATAAAAATACTGAGCTAGCGTAAACAATGTCGATGAAAATTGCGTCCAAATGAAAAGCTCTGTGCCTCGTAGCTTGCAGCTACTTAGCAACGATATAACACAATATCTTTTATTTAGCTAAACACAACAGAGATGAGTGCGAGAACATCCTCCAAAAAATTTTGCATGAGCAGAAATGGCTTCTTTAGATTTGTATACCAAGGCCAGAATGTAATTTACTATCTCCGAAGAACTGATCCTTTATTTGTCCTAAAACTGTATGATCTTGGAAACGATGTTTTCAGTTAGTATATCAACCTAAAACTTATTTGGGACTGATCTCCTATGGGTTGTTCCACTCAGCAGTGCATAAACCTTTAGCGCTATAAGTAGACATTTCACTACTAAATAAAGTTATTCCAAGTAGTAACTAGTCAAACAAAGGCGTGAAAATTTGAATGCGAACTAACTTCATGAAGAAAGTACAACCTGTGGCCAACAAGCACAATTGCAGGCGGAGCATCTCCATACATTGTCTTCAAAACAGAAAACACATCACCGCATAGCGTCTGCAACCAACAACACCACCATAACATGGAAATTGGGAAAAAAGAGTTTCTCAAAAGCATCAAATACTGAAGCTCATAGTAGTAAGATACATCTTTCAAAAGTACCTCAATGGACAAATCAACGTCATTTTGTGTAGCTGACTTTCCATGTCCCCTGAGATCCATGGCTACTATCCTAGCTTTCTCCTTGATTTTGCTTGCTGCCAATGCAAATGAGAGCCTGAGAAAATAAAACCGCACAGATTTAACATAATGTTTCTCGTTAATTGCCATTTCAAAACTGATGCTTAGCTACAAGATACAGATAGACGAGAGAGCAAGCAAAACCATTCACCAACAGGCTCTGTACCTTCCAACAGAATACAAATTTCCCAAGCATCTAGGAATTAACTAAGGAATTCACCAGAGAACTGAGCACAATGAATAAGAACATGGGCACAAAGAATGTCCTAAGACTGTTTACTGACATCTATTCTCCTGAAAAGTAAAAAGGGAGTCAATAAAGTTGATTCTTGAACAGAAGAGTGCTGGCAAAGCAACATAACTGACATTTAAGTGAAACCCATAAAGTGGTTGTATTATATTCGACTATATTCTCAAAGGCACCATGTAGATTTTTACTAGCTCCTTTTCTTCATTACGTTTCTCATTCGTAAGATGAAAGTTTCCATATCTCCCGAAAGTTTCTTGTGCCTTTTTTGGAATAAATTAAATAAACTTCATTTAAAGCACACCAGATGATGTCAAGAGCATATAAAATATAAATTTTTGGTTCAACCACAATCGGAGCTGAGGACGTTGGGTTTCTCTTTGTTCAACGTCTCTTGGGTTCTCTCAAGGACAATGGATTGAGTCTTCGCTAGATCAATGATACAGACATTTGCAGAGATAGGAACACAGCTTGGAGGACTATCTCACTATGTCTTCTTTGATCTATTTAGAATTGGAGAAAGAAGAGATTGTTCCATACTAGCAAGTAATGATGTTAGGAGTAATAAGACAATCATTTCTTCTTTCATTAATTGTTTTGGTCTAAGCAGTGAATTTTGCCTTTTAATCCATTAATATGCAGCAGTTATACTAAGGACAAGGTTCCCCCTTCAAACCTAAGTTGCTCCGACGGGTAGTTTAGCTGCCGCACCCGTGACGATACGACACTAGTATGGGTGTGGGTATGGGATCCGTACCGGATCTGGTCAAACAATTTTGGGTACTTTGACACGACGGATGGAAAAATTCGAGACGAGATACAATTTGATTCCCGAAATCAGAACCAAAACTAGGGTAAATTTGAAGAAAATAGCATGCCTTATCTAGGAAATCAATCCTTTACTTATCTACACAACTTGAGAATAAAAAAGAAATTTATATTTTATAGGCTATACTTAAGTATTCCACAAAATTTCTCATAATTTAGAGATATTTTTCTATTTTTATTTTTGTAAATTATTTTTAGCCGGATCCCCGCACCTGTATCCGCACTAGGATCCGTATCCCCGAATCTTAGAATTTACATCTCGAAGGATCCGACTTCTAGATCCGCACCCGTGTCGGACACCCGCACCTGTGTCCAAGCAACTTAGCTTCAAACTGTATCAGCATACCATTCTCTACTCCTTAACCATACCATTCGGCAACCAAATATTGTTTTCTACCAAATGTGAGGACAAAGAAGTGCACGCTTTCCCATTTGGCTCTTCCTAATTCCTCTTTTTCTTAATCTTTCTGGAATCTTCTGCACTTGGTCTATGCTACATGGCCTCAGGTAGTAATGAAGCTTACAGATGCATGTCTGATTTTCCTAGGCTTTTTATTTAGAACATGTGGATGATGCTAAAAAGTTTATCAGAAGCAAGTTAGACACAGTATGCATCAATTTAAAACTAAACTATTATCATTTTAAAGAGCTGCTATACATCTTTTTCTGGATCTTCTTTCTCAGGTTACTAGGTTAGGTTCCCCTCCAAGTCACCTGCTTCTAAGTCCAGCAAAGCTCCTTACTTTTTGTGGATTTTGTTGTATTATTAGTCCATTAGCGCAAAAAGATTGTGCCATAGATACAAGAGATGTAAGAACAAACATGCAGAGTGGAAAATACTCCCTTATTTGGATGTCACGATTCAAATTCTTTTATGGTTATGATTTCTTAAAAGAAAGTTGAAATGTTCATTTCCTAACTTTTTAAATTTTTAGCAGGAAAGGTGAAAAAGTATGGTTCAAATGAAAGTTTGTTCCCATGTCACTTTTTGTTAGTAAAGACCAAAGAGAAAGCAGAAATTAAATGTCTTTGTTATGATCTAAAACTCATCTGGAACAAAACCTAAAGTGAAATGTGGCTCTACACTTTGTAAATACAACTGCTGAAACAGAACCATAAGAAAAGCTAAGTAAAAAGAGTACACCTACCCGCAATAACCACCACCATGCAGGCAAAAAACAACAGGCCCTTCAGTCCCTGCCATATAAACATGAAATACCTGAAATGACAAAGCAAATAAAAGATGATCTTGCTACTTGACTACGAAAAGAAGAGCATAAAAAAAGAAGGAAAAAAAACAAAGAAATACTATGATGAACTCTCAGGCAGATAGAAATATTTTTGTCAAGAAACAACTGAGTTTTCAAATACTAAGAAAATTCAACAGAAGTTAGAACCAACATCATCTGAGTCTGGGATCTGAATATCATCTTCTCGATCGAAATAATCTGACCAATCTAAAGGTGCATATTTCTGTGAAGATGTCCTGCAGCAATAATTAAGACAATTTTTCAGTCAAAAATATGTGATTAATAAAAAACAATAAATTTCGTGGACCAAAATTAAAAAACTACACTTCTACAATTCTGGTGATTAATTGCAAACAAAGACACCTTTGTCTAACCTAAAGCTCCTAAAAGAGCTCCCCGATTACTAATATGCTGACATCAAGTAGAAATTTTTAATTTTAATTAGTACAATATAAATTTCACTAAACTGCACTTGAGAAGTGCATATATATTAACAGAAAAAAGTATTGAGTCTGCTACTAACATTGTAGGGAATAGGAAAGTTCCAGAAAAGAATTATCATTGTTTCCAATAGTCAGATTACATTACACCAGGAATTTAACAATTTGTAAACATCTAGAGCAAAAATTAGCTAGAATCTCGTCTTCTAAACACCTGCAGTACAGCAGTAAGTGCCCTGGTGATTCTAGGTCCCTCATATGAGTGTTGTCAAAGGTGAAAAGCTTTAAAAAGCGCTCTAGATATCTTGGGGCTTTAAGCGCAAAGCGCAATTAAAGTGTGGGCTTTATTAAAAAAAAGTGCAATGAGGAAAAATAAAAATATATTCGTAATGCAAGAAAAAAGTAACAAATTCATTCATAGTGTTTTCCTTAACAATTATTATATCTCTTTGCTGATTATATTTTTATTGTTTATTAATGCTTGATTCAACATAGGACAACGCGGCCTATAAGGCGTACACCTTAGTGCCTTGCCTACACTGAAGCGCAGCTTAAGCGAGGCGAAGCGCCCTCCTTGAGCTTTTTTTAGCTTCAGGGCTTGAGCGCGCCTTCAATGAGCCTTTGATATCAGACACTTGCTGAACAGATTCTAATCTCTTTTCAGCGAAATTTGTGTGATGAAAGCTTCCTGAAGGGCAATCCATTCAAACATGCTGCTCTAGTGGGTGCCTTAGTTATGCATTTTATCTTCCATGGCCGTTCTATATTTTATATTATCCCCTCTACTTAAACTTTTAGTGCATGACTCACTGTAAATTTTCCAATCTCTACTTGCTTTACATTTTATATTACCAGGGATCTTCGATACTTCCTTCACTTCTCCGATCATACTAAGTAGTTCAGCCACTCTATCAACCTCCCAGTCAATCATCCTTGCAGTCTGCAACCGCTTCCTCCTGATTCACCACTAGTGGGTACATATGTAAGAGAGGTGAGCTTCAAAGGCTGCTGATTAACTCAACCATTTTGCTACATTCTTATCTTCCTTCCATCACCTACTTGCAGTTGACCTTTTGTTGAAAATCTCCTCAAAAGACTGCTTAGATGCTTCCATAGACCCACCCCACTGCCAGAGCAGCTTCCGGTACTCCAAAAACCATAGATTCCATATTTTATCACATTTTGATCTCTTTCCATAAGTCTAGTTGCTTGCCATTTTAAGGGTAGACTTCATGTAATTTCAGATCTTTTACTTCCAAGACTAAGGCCTCATTTGTTTGCACTTAATGGAGGTCTGGATCATAATCATTCAAACCTCAGACATTAAATGCGTTTGTTTTTAAAGTCTGAATCTTAATTATTCAGATCTTAATCATTATGTGTGTCTGTTTTTTTTACTTCACAACCAACTAATGCGTCTAAATAGGTCTATATGATTAAGATCTACAACAGAGACTTAATTTCATTAAGATGTTGTCATCTATATTCATTATTAACTGCTACCACCACATACCATTATCAACTACCACCATGACATCTACCACCACCATACTCAATCACCACCACCACCACCCGCGCACCCCTCAATCATAGCCGCCACCACTATCGACTACCACCACCCACTATCCCCACCACTCCTACTACCATCATTCTCAACCAGAACCAACACGCATCCACCTCAACTACCACAACTAACCACCCCATCACCATCAACAACCATAGCCGGTACTGCCTATTATTATAAACCACCACCACCACCCCCATTATTAACTATCACCACCCACCACCATCATCCTCAATCATAATCGCAATCACTACCAATCACCACTAGCTATTACCCTGAACCACCACCATCAACCAAAACTACCACCAACCACCGCCTCTAGTCGGCATTCACAAGCACCACCGTTAGCCATCACCACCAGCAACTACCATATTTTAAAAAACTATATATTTTATTGATAGAATATTACATTAATTAGTATTTCATTTGAATTTTATGTTTAATAATTTTCAAATAAAGATAAAGTTTATATATTCAGTTGTTAAAAATCAAGCAGTCTTGATCATTTAGTATTCAGGACTTAATATACATCTTAATATTAAGATGTGTATTCAAATTCAGATGTCTTAATCTTAATACACATCTTGATATTCAGATGTGTATTAAGATTTAGACATCATCTTGAAAAAAAAAAATGAGGCCTAAAAACCTCTTAGGTGTTATTATTCTGAACCATTATTTTAGTTGCTTTTGCATAAGAAGTACCTCATTAACTTGTTCAGTTGTTTAACAATTTTTTGGGGGAATGTGGTGCAGTGACATATAGATAGTGGAGCATCAAGAAGTTCTTAACACTAGAACAACTTAGCACTTCTCTTCTGTTATAAAAAAGAAAATTAGTAGTTTTTTTAGAATGGTAACAAATTTTATTCATCAGCACAAAGATTATGCTGGCAACAACATTTACAGGGTACTATCCTTGTGAGCTTTACAAGGCTTCCAAAAATTGTAGAATAAATTCTGCATCTCCTACAGAAAACTCTTTAAACCAAAAGTGAAAATTTAAAATACAATTCATTTTCATTACTTGTATGGAGCTACTCCTGTCTTCAAAACATCTGTTATTTCTTTCCTTCCATATGGTCCACCAAATGCAAGTTGGGATAATCCTCCTCCACCATTTTTTCTGACTGACCATTTTACCAGCATAGTTCCAAGCTTTCAGTAGATCACATGTGTTTCCCGGCATTATCCATTTCAAATTTACCAGGGCCAAAAATAGATTCCATAATTGGGAAGTGAAAGCACAATGGAGAAAGAGATGGCTATTGTTTTCAGATTCAGCTTTGCAGAGGAAGCATCTGGAGGTTAATTGCATACCCCTTCTTTGAAGAATATCCTGAAGTTAGACAAGCCCTCCTTGCTACTAGCCATGTAAAGCAGTTAACCTTGTAAGGTATCTTGATCTTCCAAATTTGCTTCCAAGGCCAGTTGATGTTCTGTTGTCCATTATTGGAGAAATAAGTATATGCATCTCTTACTGTGAATACCTTACTGCCTATACCATTCCATACCATGGTATCCTCATAGTCACTGGGTCTTCTCAATCCCTCCATAGTTAGATAGAATGCAGTCGCTATTCCCATTTCCCAATCATTTAATGCTCCCCTGAAAGTGAGATTCCATCCATGTTGGCTCCATACTTCACCGATTGTTGACTTAGGTAGAAGTGCTAACCTAAATATTTCAGGGAACCTATCTCTTAAAGGTTCATGCCCTATCCATTTATCATACCAAAATGCTATTTTTCTGCATTCCCATGGCAGAATTCAGTATTAGCCGTAAAATCTTCCCATAATGCTTTGATGGACTTCCAATTGCTCTCCCCATAGGCTGTGTTGATAGGTTTGGTGAACCAATGACCCATTTTCCCATATTTTTGAGTTACCGCCTTTTTCCACAGGTTATTTTCTTCCCTGCCATACCTTCATAGCCATTTACACATTGAACTCTTGTTATGAATTTTTAAGTTCCTTATTCCCATGCCACCTACTATCTTACTTGAGGTTACTGTTTTCCATCTCACCAAATTATATCCTTTCTTTTCTGTGTTTCCATGCCATAAAAAATTTCTCCGGATAACATCCAGCCTCTTCTCCACCTTGGCAGGAAGTGGAAATAACGACAAAACATATGTAGACAAAGCGTCCAACACAATATTTATCAAAGTGGTTCTGCCACCAAGTGATAGATACTGTGTTTACCATCTAGCCAATTTCTTTTCACATTTGTCTAGTACATCATTCCATATCTCCATTGCTTTATACTTGGAGCCTAGAGCTAATCCCAGATATTTTGTGGGTAGAGATCCCACCTCACATCCAAGGATACCAGTTAACACCTGAGTTTCTGCACCTCCATTTACTGGATATAACTTGCTCTTCTCCCAATTAATATATAACCTAGAAATAGCTTCAAATAGGATCAATATTAATCTGATATGCCTGACATCTCTTTATTAGCTTCACAAAAAATTAATGTGTCATCAGCATATAAGAGGTGAGTGACGGCTAAACAGTTTGTTAATCTGCTGTTTATTTGAAAGCCACTGATCCATCCATTTCTAGCAGCCTTCACCATCATGTTGTTTAATCTCTCCATGGCAATAACGAACAGGAAAGGAGATAGAGGATCTCCTTGCCTAAGTCCCCTTTGAGATGGAAAAAAACCTTCAGGGCTACCATTCACTAGTATAGAGAATCTAACACTGCTAATACAGAAGTGAATCCAGCTAATCCATTTGGAACCAAAACCCATGTCCCTTAAGATATTTGTGAGAAAATTCCAATTTACATGGTCAAAGGCTTTCTGTATGTCCAATTTGCATAGTAACCCTGGCTCATGTCCCTTCATTTTTGAGTCCATACACTCATTTACAATTAAAGTTGCATCCATAATTTGACTCCCTTTGATGAAGGCCATCTGATGTCTGCTTACCAACTTATCCACCACTTTCTTTAATCTTTCAGCCAAGATCTTGGAGATTATCTTATAGACACTGCTAATTAAGCTAATAGGTCTAAAGTCTTTTAGCTCTTTAGCCCCACTCTTCTTAGGGATCAAAACCACATATGTAACATTGAAGCTTTTCTCAAAGTACTCCTGTGAATGAAAGTTATGGATAGTATATGCATAGTGTCACCTTTGATCACCTCCCAACATGAATGAAAGAAACCCATGGAAAATCCATCAGGTCCAGGTGCCTTTTCTGCCTCACACATCTTAATGCATTCAAAGACCTCTTGTTCCTCAAACTTTCTTTGTAGCCATTCTTGTTCTTCCTCAGAAATACTTTGGGAGTCTTCCAAAGTAAACTGTGATCTCCAGGCCTCTGTTTCTGAGTACAACTTCTGATAAAAGGAGATAATTTCTCCTTTAATTTCTTCAGGTTCAAAACCTAGTGATCTCTGCACCATCAATAAGTAATTCATCAATGTGATTATGCCTTTTGTGAGCATTTGCCATTCTATGAAAAAATTTAGAGTTCTTGATCTTTGTCTCCAAGCTATCTCCTCATGTCTTGCAATTTCTTCCACTTCTACTTCGAGGTTAACTTTCTGGGCTAGTTCATCATCAGTTAGGCTTCTTTGCTCTTGTAATAAATCCAGTTGGGCTATCCTCCCCAATATGTCAGTCTTCTTCCTTTCCAAGTTCCCATAATTTGCCAAATTCCATTCCTTGAGCTTTCCCTTCAGCATCTTCAGAAAATTAGTAGTTTTCTTAATGCAAATTGAACTTGCACTATCTATGAACAATGGAGTGGAATGACTATTCTTAATAATCCCTTTCCTATCTCCTTTTTGGCATTGGTCTATTATGGGCTGACTTGGCTGAGCATTGTCATTAAAAATGTGTTGCTTCACATTAGTTAAGTATAGACCTCAACTCTGCTATAGCATATATGTTACTATCATAGGAGTCACTGTGCTGTCAAAAAGGCATTTGAGCTCCATCATTTCCACCCTACCGTCCTCACATAAGATGCAAATAGACAGTCACCAACCTTCCAACAACAAGGAAGGGCGCCTTATAAAAGGGATAAATTGTAGCTCCACCTGTTTCGTCCACCTCTTAAAAATGAAGGGGACACTTCTGTGGTGAAAAATACTACTCCCTCTGTTCCAATTTAAGTGACATTCTTTTCTTTTTAGTCAGTCCCAAAAAGAATGATACATTTCTATGTTTAGTAACAATTTAACTTTAAACTTCCCATTTTACCATTTATGAGATGATTTATAACCACAAAAATTTCTTTGACTTGTTTTAAACCACAAGTTTCAAAAGTTTTTCTTTCTTTCTTAAACTTTGTGCCCCATCATACACCAACACATAAATTGGGATGGAGGAGCGTCAAATTTCCTATACTAAAGGCCAAATCTCTAACCAAAATGCAGTTAACACCCCCTTCCCACTGCAATTGTTCACACCATTCACCAAATACATGATATCTACATCTCCAGCAATTTTTCTACTTCCCAATATTGCCTTAGATATAAATAACTAAATATGTGTGGAGCCACTGTAAGCTTTTATAGGATTTTCAATTGTCAAACAACATCAGATCATATTTTCTACATTTAGAAGAACTCAAATTATGGGTCAAAGGGAGTAAAAGTTGAAACTCCTTCTACAAGGTGCAAAATGAAACACCAAGTACTTATTTCAGCTTAAGGTCCTCAAATTAGCACTTCTCGTCTCAGTCATTCCATCTGACAGGATTCTCTATCGAATTTATTTGGAATTTGACGAATTTTTACATCAGCTTTCCATCCAACAGAAGAAATTCTTCAGATAGTTATGGTAGACAGTACCAAAAGATCTACATCTATTTAACAATGATATTTAGGACTGACAATCTAATTCTCTCACACCTCAAACCTATTTGACATGTTTATCCTAATATCCCCACTAAAACTAAAGTCTCCCTAACAAATAGGCGTTAAACCAATGATGACTTGTCCACCAAAAAATAAAGTCATTAAACAGTTGGAAAGAGGTCAAGGAAATGCATATGATATTTCTTTGCATAACAAGAACAGGTCACTTCCTGTGTCATTAGTGTATGGCATTATTCAGTTGCTTGTCCAGTTATAGCAATCCCAACTAGGTACCTCAAGAAAACTAAATGGGTACATCAGTGTTTAAAAAAGTGCCCGCTTCCTCGCTTTAAGCGAGAAGCGAAGCGAAGCGAGAAGCTGCACGCTTCACCCTGCTGAAGCGACTTAGGTGTAGAAAAGCGACCGCTTCCCACTAAAAAGCGAGAAGCGGGAAAGCGATGCGATGCGATGCGAAGAAGCGACCGCTTCTGTGTTTTAAAACAGACCCAGCCCTATTTTATTAAAAACGAGGTCTGGTCTTTCATTAAACGAACAAATGCAATGAGACTAGGGTTTTAAAGACACTAGTCGACTTCTTCTTCTTCATCGACTGAAAGCATCAACTTCAAGTTCAAACAACAGGTATGTTCTGATTTTTCTCCTCCTTCTCCTTCTTCTTCTTCTTCTTCTTCTTTTTCTTTTTCTTTCACTGTTTAAACGTCCAAAAAGCAGCGAAATGCTGGCGAATTTTTTTTTTTACCTTCGGTTCTTTCTCAGAATCGATGACAATTTTTAAACAGTGACATAAAAAATTGCCCAGTTTACTGTCCAGTTTTTTTTATTTTACCTCTAATTTTTATATCCTTTATTGTTAGTTCTTATTGTCTTTCTTATGTGCTATGTAGTTGTTCTTTTAATGGCGAAGAAGTTGACGAGCAATATAATAATGATAATGGAATACAATACTTTGACAATCTTGTAGAAGAATAGGATGCTCATTTTGTGCTTTAATTGATGCTACTATTTAGTTTTCACATTGAAGTATTGAACATTTGCTTACAATTACATATGTTGTCTATGCAGTATTTATTTTAATTTTTTTTTTAAAATTCCGCTTCACTTCAAAAAAGCGCTTCTCGCTTCTCGCTTTAAGCGAAATGGGGATTGTCGCTTTTTCTCGCTTCACGCTCTTCACAACACTGGGGTACATCAATAACAATTGACCAGATGTTCCAACAATTAAAATGATCTCATTGGTTTACCAAGATCCCTTATTTCCAAATATGCATTATCCCTTGATAAGTATTTCTACCCAGTAAAAACTAATCCACATTTACAGAACCAAAGGTAGCAAAAAGAGATCATCATAAGAGCTTCTGTACTAAAGAAAGACTAATAATAAAAACTCCATAAATGTACAGAGCATTATCAGTACCTCTAAAATGCCANACTCTAAAATGCCAATCACACAATTCAAATAATTTTATTCCAAAATTTCATACTACACAAACATAGGAAAAAAACAAACACCAAAAAGTTCCATTTTTTATTTTTATTTTTTGGAAAAATGGACAACGATGATGAGCTTACTGAATGGGAAGGCGAGCAGGGATAGAAGAAAAGGCAGAATGGAGATTATGGGTTTCTTCTGAGCCTTCTTCTGGAAGTGATGTAAGGTTTGATGAATCCATATTTGAAGATCACTCGAGAGAATGTGTGAACGTTTGTAGGCACTCTGCTATTTCAAGATTGTGAATATTTGAGGTTTATTTTTTAGTCTTCCTGTGATTTGATGCTATCATACGTGTCGGGTAAATTTTGCTCTTTCTGTTTTGAAGCCTTTGGGCCCACTAGTAAGCCCAGTCCACAAATTGTGCTGATTTATTGTCGGCCGAAAATGTATCAATTTAGAATAGCACAACCAAATCAAAAGTAAGCAGTGTCAAAATTTAGGACAATAAATTTGGAGATTCTATTACATTAAAAAAAAAGAGTAGGAGACAAAAAAATTAATATGCTAATAAAATTTTTTATTAACAATATAATAATACTAAACATTGGATAATATCTATCTATATAGAATAAGAGAACCAAATCAATATGATGATGCCAAGTATAACAACAAATATGTAACAAGTGTCAAATTTTAGGATAAACCTCCAACAAATTTGGAGATTCTATTATATTAAGAAAGAGTAGTAGAAAACAATATTAAACAAAGTAATATGCTAATAAACATTTCTATTAATAATGTAATAATACTAAACATTGAATATTATAATTAAGAAAAATACATAAAAAAGTTATTCGATGACTATATAAGTCCCTTTAATTTAATAAATTTTTTATTATTAGGTATATCGTATTGACAAATAATATGACAATACAAATGTATTAAAGAAATACGGTCATGACCCAACTCCCATCAGAGCCGCGATGACATCTAAAACTACTTGCTAGGCAAGCCAACAGTTCCACAATAAAAGTAAATTCAGTAAAACAGAATTTAATAAACTCAATAGCGGAGATATCAGGAAATAATTGCGAAACAACATTAATACTTCTACAACCATCCCAAAGATCTGGTGTCAACGAGTACATGAGTTCTACTGAATATCAAAATACAAGGCAAAATCCTCAGTGCAACTGTTAGAACAATAGAACAGTAACAACATTCATAAATGAAAGAGAACTTCATGGTCTGCGGACGACATAGCAGCTACCTCGTAGTCTCCCAAAGCAGGTACCCGCACAACTCTCGCATACGGAAGTACCTGAATCTCCACACGAAGTGCAGAGTGTAGTATGAGTACAACCGACCTCATGTACTCAATAAGTAACAAACCTAACCTTGGACTGAAAACAGTGACATGCTCAGAAGAAACACTTAGTGACCAATATCAATAACCAGTAACGACTCAAGAAATAAGGGAAATAATATAAGTAAATAACTCAATGATATCATGTTCAGCTCGTTCACATTACATGAATTTAGACATGCTTTCCAAGTATAACAGTTAAAGCCCAACACGAATAAAATATTTTATTTATCATCTAGCATGAGGAAAGTACATCTCTATGTCTACATGTCAACATAATATCATCACAGTAAAACCATCAAGAATATCCACACTTAGCACGCTCACGGTGCCTGGACAAGACCCTCACCATCACACACAACAACACTTAGTATTGTACGGGTGCCTGGCATAAATGCCCCTCACCAAAGTATGTATATATATAACACTGTGCCAGCGTTCACTACTGGCATGTCAGACTCCCGAGGGGCGAATCCTGGCCTAAGCGCTAATCAAAACACATAGCCCAATAGTTGGGCCTGGTGCACGCGTCACCCCAAATCAGTAATACTTGCCCAATATAAGCATGGCGTATGCATCACCTCAAAATCAATACCAAATCAGCTCTATGACCCAAGCTTAGTCATCAACAGCTCAAGTTTCAGTTAACTACATCTCACAGTACTCAATTCAACAATGTTACACATATGATGCATCAATAACATGTGAGGAATCGAATAAGAAAGTACCGAGATAGAGATATCATACACGAATATAGCATCATGACTGGGAGTATGTGTACAATTAAGGCAAATACCTCAAAAGTGGCAAGAATAGCCCTATCATGTCTCAAATAAGTAGCACATAGCCTAGACATGATTTCTAACATGAATCAGAACTCAAAAAATCATACAAGTTTAGAAAACACGGATATAACGAGGCATGATAGCAAAATAAATCCTATAATAGTCTAAAAGCCACTTCAAATAATAAATACTCTTGTGCACGCACACACGCCCGTCACCTAGCACGTGTGCCAGCCCAATACATCTCATCTAACATAGTACCCATGGTTAATTACCCTCAAATCCAAGTTTAGATATGCTACTTACCCCAAACGCAGAGATTAATACTCCAAAAAGCCCTTCTACTGTGAGTTGACCTTCGAGCGACTCGAATCTAACCAAAACAACTTAATATCATAAATAGAAGCCACCATAAATAATTTTGAATGATAAAGCTAAGGTCTTGAATCAAATATGCAAAGTCAACCCCGAGCCCGCACCCCCGGAATCCGACAAAATTCACAAATTCTGAACACCCATTTAAATACGAGTCCAAACATACCACTTTAATCAAATTCCAACGACATATCGACCCTCAAATCATCAAATCTCACACTCCAATAACATAGATTAATATCCCCAAATTTCACCTTAAATTCACATAAACTAGGTGTAATAATCAATGGGTAATCAATATCTATCATCCAAATTGAATAAAATTCACGTACCTCTTCAATTGCAGCAAAACGTCTCCCAAAAATCTCCCATAGACGAGCTCCAAAACTCCCTAAATGAGAAAACAACCAAACCCTTCGAATATATGGAGTTTGCCAGTGAATTCGTATCTGCGGTCACTTAACCGCATCTGCGGTTTCGCATTTGCAATCTCAAGCTCGCATCTGCGAGATCCCTCCTTCAACCGACCAGCCACATATGCGGTCCCTCCTCCGCACGTGTGGGACCGCTTCTGCGAACCCCCTTCCGCATCTGCGAACTCCCATGTCTCCATCCAAGTCTGCTTCTGCGCCCACTCGTCCGCATTTGCGTGCTCACATATGTTGCAACTCCCTCGCACCTGCGCTCTTCCCCAAATCCAGCTTTGGCCATTTCTGTGACTCCTTGCCCGCACCTGCGACATGTCCTCCGTAGGTGCGAATGCACCAGCTTCAGCAGTCCTTGATCCATGCAACACAAATCCAAACTAGCCGAAACCAATCCGAAACACACCCGAGCTCCCGGGACCCCATCCAAATATACCAACAAGTCCTAACACACAATACGAACCTATTCGAAGCCTGAAATCACATAAAACAACACCAAAATCATGAATCGCACCCCAATTCAAGCTTAATAAAACTAATGAACTTTCAACTTTCGAAATTCATGCCGAATCACATCAAACCAATCCGGAATGACCTCAAATTTTGAGCACAAGTCCCAAATGACACAACGATCCTATACCAACTTTCGGAACTAGAATCCGAACCTGATATCAACAAAGTCAACTCTCGGTCAAACCTCAACCTTCCAAACCTCCAACTTACCAACTTTCGCCAAAAATGACCAAACCAACCTACGGACCTCCAAATCCAAATCCGAACACATGTCTAAGTCCAAAATCATCATACAAAGCTATTAGAATCATCAAAATACCACTCCAGAGTCGTCTACACAAAAGTCAAACTTTGGTCAACTCTTTCAACTTAAACAAACCCAATTCACTTTGAAACTTTCCCAAAACCAAACCAACCACCCCGACAAGTCACGAAACCTCAAATACACATAATTAAAGTATCAAATAGGGGAATGAGGCAAAATTAATCAAAACAACAGGCCAGGTCGATACATTCTCCCTCTCTTAAGCAAACGTTCGTCCTCGAATGGGTCTAGAATCATACCTAGAGTCTCAAAAAGGTGGGGATATATGTTCCGCATCTCCTGCTCGGTCTCCCAAGTAGACTCCTCTACCGACTGACCTCTCCAATGAACCTTCACAGATGTAATACTCTTTGACCTCAACTTTCAAACCTGCCGATCCAAAATGGCCACCGGCTCCACATCATAAGTCAGATCTCCATCTAACTGTACCGTGCTGAAGTCCAAAATATGTGACAGATCACCATAATACTTTCGGAGAATAGATACATGAAATGCTGGGTGAATTCCCGATAGACTAGGTGTCAAAGCAAGTCTGTAGGCCACCTCTCCAACTCTCTCAAGCACCTCAAAAGGGCTAGTATACCGAGGGCTCAACTTGCCCTTCCTCCCGAACCTTATCACACCCTTCATGGGCGAAACTCTGAGCAGAACCTTCTCACCCACCATATATGCATCATCACCAACCTTCCTATCAACATAACTCTTCTGCCTAGACTGTACTGTACGAAGCTACTCCTAGATTAACTTGACCTTCTCTAAAGCATCATAGACCAAATTAGTGCCCGATAACCTAGCCTCTCCTGGCTCAAACCAACTAACTGGAGAACGACATCGCCTTCCATACTAGACCTCATAAGGATCCATCTGGATACTCGACTGATAACTGTTGTTTTAGGAAAAATTTGCTAACGACAGAAACTAATCCAATGAACCGCTGAAATCAATAACACATGCACGTAACATGTCCTACAAGATCTGAATAGTGCGCTCACACTGTCCGTCCGTCTGGGGATAAAATGTTGTACTTAACTCTACCTGAATGCCCAACTCTTACTGCATTGCCCTCCAAAAATATGATATGAACTGAGTGCCTCGATCAAAGATAATGGACACGGGCACACTGATACGCTCAAATTACACCTTAATAAATAGTGTAAATCGGTCGATGTCAAATATAATAACCCAACTAGGTTGGGGTCAAATTCCACAGGGAATAGGTGTGAAAAGGTTACTTGAGTAGTGTGAAACTTGACTTAATTTGTAATTCTGTTCCGTTAGCTAAAAAAAAGAATGTTGTAATTGAGTGAAATGAAGACAAGTAATTAATTTGATTAAGAAAACCAAGGTTGTGTCCCCGTTGATGGAATGTAATGCTATCGGTATTAATATGATATATTTCTAATGGAAGGTTCTTTGATATGCAAATAGTTTCTAAGTGACTACCCAATATTTCCCAATAGTTGGGTAATATCTACTCTTTAAGATTTTCCCAAATGTAAAAGAGTTGCGATTGAAAATAACCAATTTATGCC